CATACATAGTAATATATGGCAACGTACACGGAATATTCAAATACATTGAAATTGGGGGTGTAATCCTTGATCCGATTTTCAGAACACTTGACTTGTGTGTGTTCCTCGTAATCAGTGCGACGTCTTCTTTTGGTGTTAGTTTGATCCAAGGAGGTCAAATAAGATAACAATCTTCTGACGCGCACACCAAAGCAGTCAGCAACTTAGCTGGCAATGTTACTGTTTTGTTGTTAGGAACAATATGGTGATGGCAGTGAGTATGTGCCATTTATGGTGTAATTGATAATGGTGACCTCTGTACATCCTTGAGACTCATTGAGAGCAGGGTTTTACATCATTTTTTAGATGTGGGGATCATTGGGATCCCTTGTCTGAAAAATTGGGGGTCATAATTGCAAATTGTAGGGTCATACACAAATCAAGAAATTAATTTTTGTTAAATAGGGAAAACAATACAATGGAGAGTTAATGAGATGATTTGAGTTCAATGGAGGAGTACCAGTATGAAAAAACATCTAACTTACTAAGTTTTATCGAGGTCTTTATTCATACAACAAATTCTGAACATGCATGAAATCGGTAAAAACATCGCAAGGGAGATCCCGTTTAGCCATAACATAAACAGTTCGTAGCTGAGCTGCGTATGATTTCAGATTGTCAGTTGTACCTTGATAATTCCTCTCGTTTGCTACCTTACGAGCACTGATGTGACTTCTAGAGTCTTAATGCCGGATGAGAGTTGAGTTTAGAAAATTTGAACACCCGTCAGTGAAAGGGTTTTTTGGATTTCGATCTCACACAAACTTCACATTCCATAACGTTTCGGTCTGATATGTAACGAAGCCATTTAAAACGATTTAGCCACCCAGCGTTGAAAGAACAATCTTTCTTTAGTAAAACGTGGGGCTTTTCACTGGACGTAGCTGGTGAAGCTTCAATGGGAGAACTATCAGACGAGCTATAAACACTAAACATAGTACATTTTTTGTGTGATTGGTGTAAATGGCAACGCACATACGAATGATGATTTAGAGTGTTCCATTTGAAATCGAGGGAGGTTCTAGTGTTACAAGAGCCCATTTAGCAACTACTGCAGATCAAATGGAGGGGTGGATTACTCACGACTTGACGCCAAAATTTCTACGTCACGCAGGACGCACTGCTGATTTTCATGAGGGTCATACAGTCATAATTATGTGTCAATGACGCAATATATTGCGTCATGTAAGATCCTGTGAGAGAGTAAATTAAATCAATGTGGTACCAGTCACTGAACATAGTGGTTGTCGCATCAGACTCATGATCAGTAGACCCAAGTTCAAATCCTACCTTAGGCTGAAAATCAAAAGGGTCGACCCCCCTACCCTAGGTGAGTGTGCCACAGACTCAATGGAAAGGCCAATTCCGCTGGCAGAGATTCATTCACTAACAATTGCAACTTTGCAGGAACCTTGGTTAAGATCTCCAGGTGCTTGTGTTCGACCAAGCCTGGTTGACGCCAGGATAACGCATTACATTGCCATTTGATAGATGGCCACACAGCCCTGTCATGTAGTCCGAAACATGAATATGACTTCTGTGGCAAAGTGCACTATGTGTCAGCACTAGCAATTGCAATTTGCACTTACCAAAAAAATGATGAAAGTCAGGAGAGACAACAGTGACACTCAATGTCCAGAACTGTGGCCTGGCACAAAAACAATTTAAAAGAATAAATTCCATTTTGACAATTCTACTTCATCCTTTCCAGTTTTGAGAAAGCTGTCGGAAGAGCACCCTCATGGGCCAAACTAAAATCAGAAAGAGAAGAAGACTCTGAAGGTGAGGCGTAGTCTGAAACTGTCACAAAATTGTATATTCGCTGAGTAATCAAGTAATCACTAATACACATACCTTTCCTCTTGTCAACAAATTTGTGACCAAAAGTTTTTTTGGAGTCAGTGTAAAATAGAGAAAGTTTACAGAAATATTATCAGATTGTCAGCAAGCATAATGAATGTTTTCTCTACTATAAGGTGCAAGTGATGATGAAGATGATGTTTTAAAGCACACTGGAGACTACCTCACTACATCGGATAAACTTACTAAAGATATATTACAAATTAAACGATGCACACATGCTAATAAGCAAAAACCAACACAGGTAAGCCAAGTTTTGTTTTTATTATAAAATCATATAAATTTCAGCAATACTGCGCTAATAAAACTTAAATTCCAAAAAATAACATTTTACTAAAGTAAAATCATGGGGGGGGGGGGGGACTTTTGAATTTATCTTGCATTTAAATGCACATATATATGGTACAATGCAAACTTATGGACTAATCCTATTTTCCTACAGGGTAAGATAGAGAGTGTTGAATTTCATCCGGGAGCACAGGTTATATTGACGGCTGGCAGAGATCAAACTCTTAACTTATTTCAAGTGAGATTACTTACAATTTTCTACTTGCCTTCATTTTTATGCAGATGAAATATGTTTGGAGTCTTGTATTGCCTCGCAGAAAACCTTTAACAGTTGAAGTCTGATTATTTTAGAAAGTAAATTTTGCCTATGCCTGAGATGAGAGGCAATTGTGATAACAATTTGCATTCCTAATATGGGCACAATTTCACCCTGGCACAAACACCAATATATTTGCAGTAATATTTGTATTGAATTTATAAACAATATTGTACTGGAATATGGCCAATTCAATAAAAGTCAAATATCCCTAATATAGTCAATTGAACTCTGGTGGCACAAAGGTCAATGCTTTTGCAGTAATGTATACATTGCTGCATCTTGAATGGGGTGATCACATGTACATTACCACGGCAACCATTAGTTGATATAGCACTCGGGTGGGGAGGTTAAATATCATCCATATCTGGGTTTTCTATTAGTGAATAAATAAAAAGTAAAATTTTATGATTGTTCGAGAATCATAAACTGGTAGCAAGCATTCATTGGAAGTTTTTTTGCTTTTCTATAGTCTGGAACAAAGTGTGTGCGTTCAGATGTGTTTACATATTGTGTATATTGCATGAGAATCAACAACAAACAAAAAGGGTATTTGTGAGTGTGTCGCTTTCAGCATTGTGCATTGAATTATGTTTGCTAGCACCATAATTGTGTGCTATTTAACATTCAGGTTGATGGAAGGACAAACCCCAAAATACAGAGCGTTTTTGTCGAAGATTTCCCGATTCGAACTGCACATTTTACAGCCGATGGTGAACAGGTAGTGATGTCGGCCAATATGCGATGCTTCTACGTCTACGACATGATGGCTGGCAAGGTTATCAGAATACCAGACATTAAAGGTGAGGCACACTAAGTATCTATTCTCCTGATTAGGTAATTTGGCAGCTTCGCTAATTAAAAATGTAACTAAAAATTATATTTTCTTATCTTTGTCATACTTTGAATAAATTTAAAGATGTGAATAATATTTTTGAGCATTAATAAATAATCTAACAATTATGTATCAGAATACAATAAGACTTAATCTCTATAATCTCTATAATCAGTGATTGCAGTATTTTTCATATTCTGCTCCTGAATCCCCAATATTAGAGAGGTACCCCAAATCAAATCTCTGCTTACTTAAAATTTATGTTTTCCTTAGTCACCTATGTCTAGTTAAAAAAACAAAATATCTACGTAAATAAAATGAGTACGGTATTGTGATAGACATAATGTTCAACCATTCACTGGTGTAAGGTAATCTGTGCACCCATGCAAAGAATGTGGTCACATTACTGTTAAATATTTTATTTTAGATTACCGTAGTTGTCCAGGTAAAGTGCCCAGAGTCCTGAACATGGGAAATTGTCTAAAAAAATGGGGTGGGCCTATGCCCGGACACCCCCTGCAAAAAAAAGAAAATTCACAAAAATTGACAGCACGCAGATCGAACTGCGGCAGGGAATAGAATGGCAAATGAAAACGTGCAACAAAATAAATGAACAATATGCAACATTAGAAGTAAAACAAAAATAATTTATTGCTTATAATGTAACAAATAAACCAGAAATAATAAAATCAACAGTGAGGACTCATTTGAATTAGGATTTCCCCACTGCAAATATGCTCAATTTGCGTGAATGTCAGGGGTTGAACTGCGTAAAATTATTTACAGTTTTGACAAATACCGGATCAACAGTCATACAAGAACAATAATAATTTACAAATTTACGCAGTCAAAATTACGAAAGTTCATAGTTGTTTGAAAACACTTCTCAGAACTCTATTTGTATGTTCATTGCCATCTCCGTCAAACTCAAAACCCTCAATGTCCAAGTCGGCGTCACTGTCGCCATCCAACAAAATCCCTACAGGGTCGTCCTAAAGTTCAGCGATGTCATCGCACACGATTTGGCATGTCTAATCACAATAAACAGACAAGAAAAATGAGGTCGTGTGCAAACGACTCTGCTCTATCATCTTTGACCTTTAAACATCTGCTTTACTGATTGGCTAAGAATGAAATCACTACTACCGGTAGTGTTTTATCATAGAGATCAAGTCATCGGATTGACATCGCAAAATCGCTGGCCCCAGTTATAGATTCGCAAGCTGCTACCAAATATTTTATAAAGCCAAAATAACGTGATTTCAACCACTCTCCTAGGTATGGGTTGCTACAATATTGCAACATTGGTTTCATTGTCAAAGACGCTAAAGCCGAACGAGTGTGACACTTGTGACTCTCGATACTGTAATATTTGCTTGAATTGTTTCTAGGGAAACACAAACCAAATGGCGCTTTTCAGGGCCACGACGTATTTCAAAAAGAGAACTAACAGCAGTGCCCTGAAAGCAGAACGCGAAATTATCTATTTTGCTGTCATGGCTATTTTGCATTCACTCCTCGTTTTATTTTTCAAGATTTTTTATCAGAATCAGAACAGACTGCAAGGAAGTCAACTGTTAATACAGTGAACAAAAAATAGATTTTTGTTATTTTTTTAATAACAAGTGTAGAAAATGACCCCTGGGTGTAGTAGGCCAGACATGACCTCAATTTCTTCATTGTATCAAAATTGGTAGTGGTCATTTGCCCAGGCAATGGACAACTACGATAAATTAATTTTCGCTGAAAAGGCTTTTTGGGTGTTATGTGTATGGAGTTTAATCTCACTGATTTTTGATGAGTTGAATGTAAAATATAGGAAAAAAGGTACCGTATATTCGCTGGATTTAATTTTCACTGAATAATCTATTTTAGCGAAAATAGCAAAAATAAATTGCAAGCGAAGATTGTATATTACAGTAGAAACAAACTTGTTTCCTCCATTACTTTTCTAGGAATCCAGGAACGAAATTTGACAACATTTAAAATTTCCCCTGATGGTAAATACATTGTATTCCTAGGATCCTATGGCTATATGTATGTTTTGTCAGCGAAGGTAAAAATTACTTTTATTTTATTTTTTAATGGCTCCACCTTTATTTTTACATAGATCACTGTGACCTCTATCAGTGCAGTTGTCACTGTTGTCAAACGTGCCTGCTATCTTTTCCAGCAAAATTGCTTTCATTTACAGTGCACTCTACACAGATATCGGAGAATGTCCATATTGATTGTGAATTGAACTTACCAGTCTAAGCCTAACTTTTGAGAAATATTCTCGGTTGCCATGGTTACTCGGTGAAATTTGGCACTCTGAGAAACACTCCTCTTTTTGCATTTTGTTAATAATGTGTATCTATGGTCAAAATAAGATGATGACCCAGTATAGAATAAAGGCAATTTGTATGTATGCTTCTAATAGTGCAAATACAGTTACCTGGGTAACGATCATTGACAACTTTGGTGAACTGGGTAATTTCTCAGGAGTTGAAATTTGTGTTCTTCGCAAAGTGCAAACTAAAAAAATGAATTAATGTTATTTCAAAAATTAAGATTTTGCGGAGGTTGTATTTCATTTAGTGATGCGACTAGTTAGATAGTTGGCAAATTGTTTCTGTTTTAAAATCTGTCATCAAACCCAATGATTTATTAAGAGGGATATTTTGTGCTGCGTTTACTTTCACAGAACAAAGAATGGATTACCACTTTAAAAATGAATGGTAGTGTAGATGCTATAGCATTCAACGATGACGGAAGTAGAATGTATTCACACGGTGGTAAGTAGTAGAACTATTCAGGTACTACATATTCAATGGGATGCACAAAACCAACACATTTTTGAACTTACAAACTTTTTGTGCCACATCTCTGACCCCTGGTTCTTCAGGAATGCAAATAACAACATTAGTTTTTATGCTAATTGTATGCAAATAGCAGGATAAATTGTTATGCTAATTGTATGCATAAAACAACAAGATCAATTGTTATGCTAATTGTATGCAAGTAACAACAGGATAAATTGTTATGCTAATTGTATGCAAGTAACAACAAGGTGATTGTCATGCTAATTATATGCAAAAAACAACAAATTACATTGTTATGCTAATTGTATGCAAGTAACAACAAGATCAATTGTCATACTAATTGTATGCGAAAAACAACAAAATAAATTGTTATGCTAATTGTATGCAAGTACAAACAAAATCAATTGTCATGCTAATTATATGCAAAAAACAACAGGATAAATTGTTGCGCTAATTGTATGCAAATAACAACAGGATAAATTGTTATGCTAATTATATGCAAATCAGGGCATCTCTCTGTCATGCTATCTCTCCCAATCTTATTTGTCCCCTGATATTTATTTCGAGTTATAAAAGACACTAAAACTCTAACAATAAAACCCTAACAAGTAGAGTAAGTAGGTTTACAAATTAATCACATTGCCATAGTTACTACTGAGCATAATTTCATTGAAGTTATTTCCATTATAGATACATACATTGTGCTGTGTATTATTTTTTATTACATCTAATTGTACTCAAAAGGACATAGATGTATTGTTTTCTCATTATTGTACATCTTGTATGTATACTAATAAAATCTGTTTCTCGTAATTTGTTATTTTTTTATTTGAGAATTACGAATCTAAAAACATAATTTTTTTTCCTGAATTAATAAGAATGCTCAAAATTGTTTTTTTTTTCAGATGATGGAGAGGTTTATATATGGGATATGAATTCCAGAAGATGCGTACACCGATTCATTGATGAGGGGTGTATTAAAGGCACATCTTTGGCAGTTGCCAACCATGAACAATATGTAGCGTGTGGGTAGGTACTAATATCCATATATATATATAGATCCATCTA